GTTTAAAATTGTTATTTATGTAAATGTATGTATAAATGTAGGTGTTTTTGTTAAATGGGGGCAGATGCTATAAGATTTTCTTCTTTCTGCTCCCTTTCATTTAATGATTTTGTGTTGTGTTGAAAATTGTTTTTTAATGTTTTTGTTTTTAATTAAATGAAATAAATTTATAAAGGGGAAAAAAGCAAATATTACATGTTGTTCCAGTCAGTGACCAGCAGAGGGAGCTCCACTCCTTCCCTGTGAAGAAGCCAGATAAAAGTGAAACATTAGACTGGCCTCAGAGTGAGTCTGAGCTCAGAATGTGGTGTTTTGTCTCACAGGAGGAAGACTCAGGCAGCGATGCGTCCAGTTTTAGACTCTTCAGCCCTGAGCTCAGACGATGATGATGATGATGACAGCCTGTACGACCCCTCCACCATCACCTCCATCCTCACTGAGAGCAACCTCCAGACCAGCTCCTGTTAGGGGGGCACTTCAGGGGCGGGATGAGAGCAGGAAATCACAGCACTGCCTGACATAAAAACACAGCACTACAAAGAGAAAAGGATTGTATTTAAAGTGGGGGCGGAGCCAGAGGACAGTGTTGGTATGCAGTGCACACAATGAGACAGGGCCTCAGGAGACCAGGGAACTAAAGCACACATTGTTGAGTTTAACAGGAGGGATCGTTCCCACATCAGAACCAACGTGAAAACAAAACATCCTTTGAGTTTAAAGGAATTCCCATCAGTCTTTTTACTCTCTGCTCGTGCACAAAACCAGGTACAGTTTGAGGTGCAGCAGATAAACGCAGCTGATGAAGATGAAGTCACTGGTAAATCTGGTACGAATTCAGTGTCGAAGCATTTCAGACCTGACACTCTTTCTGTATTCTTAAAGCATTTGTCACTTTGAATTGACTCAGCTGTAGATTATATCTCCTCCACCCTGACAGGATTATGAGCTTTTTATTGTGATCACGATGTAAAAACAACACAAATCAAAATGATGCATTTCTGCCAGAAAACCACCAAACATGGACGTCTGCTGCCAACTTTTCCTTCAGAATGATGGTTTCAAACCCTCAGTTTGGTTCCATAAATAAACAAAATGATTATAATTAGAGTTAGGTGATATTTTCTAAACCAGAGGTTCTCAAACTGGGCTCCCTGGACCCCCAGGGGTCCGCGAGAGGTATCTTGGGGGTCCTCAAAAATTTTTACTAAAATGTTAGTCTGGTTTTTATTTTTAAAAATGCAAGGAGAACAACTAACTAATAAAACAAACATAATAAACTTAATAAATATATATATTCCTACGGTATTTAGGGGTTGAAATTACAATAAATTATCTTTCTGCATATTCATGTCTGATTGATATGATGCAGTCATCTGCTCCTTGCAGTCATTTAGGATGAGATGATTCAATGATATCATCCATATCAGGCCTTTCATGATGATATAGACGTTTTAGTTTCATTAATCAGTTGTTACAGCTCAGTCCAGGTCTTCCAGCTCTCCTCGTGCTCCAGTTGGTCTGTTTCATAGTGTCAGCTGCTTCACACTGAGTGTAAACACATGAAACACACATGAAAATATGTCCTCATCAGGTGACAACAGTTAATGCAAAGTGGTAAATATTAATCATGTTTGTCTTTTACTAACTGTTAGTTACACCTGGTTTAATGCTAAAGGATGACAAGTGGAGCTGGAGAACATGATGGACTTTACCATTTAGAGGTGGTTTCATTAAACTCATCACTTTATGTATCACTGCTTCCACACGACAAACTACTGAAGCCTTGTGCAGAGTGTAGACACTGAAAACACTGAAGCCTTGTGCAGAGTGTCGACACTGAAAGCACTGAAGCCTTGTGCAGTGTCGACACTGAAAGCACTGAAGCCTTGTGCAGAGTGTCGACACTGAAAGCACTGAAGCCTTGTGCAG